CTGGAGGGTGAGTGCAAAGGATTATTGTTATGCCAAGCTCAGGACACACTTGCTGGCTGGGCCTTAGCTCTGGAAAATAGGGTATCTCCTAATATCTTGATATTTCCCCCTTTTGGCAAAAGGGAGGGAATCTGGAAGAACCCCTAGCCTTCCGGCCAATAAAAGAGAGGCAGATATAAGCCAAAATGCCAACAGAGACCAGCTGGGCCAGGATGAGATATTGCTCAGGGGGGTTAGTTCCTTGAGGGAACCTATCCAGGAAGTGTGTCCCAGGTATCATTGCCAGCCATTGTTTGCTTGCAAGCAGAAAAGGAGGGAGAAGAATGTAGAGGGAATGTGTGTAGAATGCCAACACACGTTTGAATCAGGGCTTTGGTGGTTGGACATATAACAAAAAGGAAGAGGACGGTATAATCAACCCTCATCTGGAATCCTAGGATAATTGTTTCGTCTGTGTGTCAGGGGCTTTCTCCAGATGATCCAGGAGTACACACCTACATGTTTGACAGCTATGGGAGTAGTCCAAAGAACCTGGTAGGGGCCCTTAGAGAAAACTCCTTGCATCAATCTTTGAATCTGAGTTTCTGGTCAGCAAAACATAAGTCCTTAGTTAAGAATCTCTAAACAGCACATGGAGATGATCCAGTTTCCTAACCACACAGGACAAGATTCAAACAATGCAAAATAAAGTTTTTCTCACAATTCTCTCTATGTACTTTCAGGAAAGTATGTTACCAATCTGTAGGGGAGGAGATGTTTTGTACCAATTATTCTCACTGTATCATCTTAGTAAACATCCCTTTCTAAAATCTATTTAAGTTTGTGTGACTAAATTAATTTTCAACTGGCCATCTTAGGGAGAAGTATTTTGGTGGGAGCTTGAGCCAATTACATTAAAGAATCCCCTCCAATTCCTCAGGGAGTACTTCCAGGACCTGAGCAAAAGAGGTAGCCTTGCTCCAGGAACCGAGACTCCTATGTGAACATGGGAGTTGGGATAAGGATCATCAGAGTATACATAGGCTATAAGGACAGAATGATATGGTAGGAAGATATGGACTTTAAAGGAGGAGAGGCTGCTGAATGATGGTCATAGAAGTGGTAAAAAGGAGCTCAGAGTATGCCAACCTGTCAGACTTATTCTGAATTATAGGGATTGGAAGACCAAAGGGTAGGGCAATACCAGGTATAGACAAGTTTGAAGATTAAATTATCCCTAAGGTTCTAATTAACATCATGGTGTAAAGGAGGCCTCTGCCAATGGTGTTTTTCAAGTGGGTCCATTTCTTTTGACTGATGCAGGAGGATCAAAGGATGTATCTCAGCTAGAAGGATCCCGAGAAGGAACCTTGAAAATGAGACCAGTAGAGGTTAAGTGACTTGCTTGAGGTGGCAGGGCTAAGTGGCAGAGATGGACCTCAAACCTACGTCTTCTGACTTTAAGTCCTGGGCTCTCTCCCCAGCATCACTAGAAAGAGAATTAGAGAGCAGAAGGGCAGTGGGTAACTTAAGCAAGGAAGGAGCCAACACTGAGAGAGAGGAGAGGTGAACAAAGAAAGAGGACCTTGGGGACAAACTTCACTGACTTCACAATTTTATCAAAGGTCAGCCCTATTTGTATTCAACTACAAAGACAAATAAAAGTCACACTTGGGAGATTCTTGATCTGGAAAGCTGACCCGCATGACAGGCATAGGTCAACTTCACCAGATGCCAGGCTGCTCTTAGGAGTTGTGATTCAATCAAAAATCCTTTTTTGCTTTAGGGAGAAAGTGCCCAGTGGCTGCTAGTCTTTCTTTTAATATTCTTAGTCACTTTCATTTTTTGAAATACTATTTTATTTTCTCCCCAATTACATCTTGGTCACTTTTCAAGAAAGTTCTGCCTTCATCCCTCACCCCCAGAACTCAATAGGTTATCGGGCATTGGTAAATACCAACCAAGTGACAAAATTATTTTAAACATGTTTTACTGATATATTTTGTTTTTATTTGATCACTATATTTTCCCTCAACATCTCTCCTGCCTTTCTATCCTGGAAAGCCATCTCATATAAAAATACCATTTTTAAGACAAAAAAGAAAAAGAAAAAATGAGCATAACTGATCAATACATCAGAAAAAGTCTGAAGACATGTGCAACGTACAGTTTTTGTGGCCCTCCCATCTCTGCAAAGGGGTGAGGTGGGGCTGTCTTCTCATCTTTCTTCTTTCCAGCCATGATTGTTCTTTATAATTTTGAAAAATTCACTTTGATATTTTTCATGGTTGTTCTTCCATTGGTTTTTGTTTGTATTGTCTTCTTGGATCTGCTTGGCATTAGGTCACATAGATTTTTCCATAATTCTCATATTCACTATTTCTTATAGCACAGTAATATTCCATTACATTCATGTATGTGTGGTTAGCCATTCCCAACTAATGAGCAGCTCATGTGTTTCTAATTCTGTGTCATCAGAAAAAATGGTGCTATAAATATTTTGGCGTATATGACGATTTCTTCTTGTCAATGGCCTCCTTGGGGTATAAGTCAGTAATGGAGTATCTGGGTCAAAGAATTTGGATTTTTTTAAGTCACTTTATTTGCGTAATTCCAAATTATCAAGTGACAAAATTTGAATATGGACAATCAGTTTCCTTTGCTTATAATTCAATGTCCAAGCAAGCCTCTTTCTGATTACTGATTTGGTTTTCCAGACACCTTGTATTTAGAATTAAATTGTCAGTTAACAAAAAAATGATTCTCTCCCTTCCATCTCCCCTCTTCCAACTGAAAAAAATATAACAAAACTCATAACAAATATGCACAGTCAACAAAACAAATTCCTTCATTGGACCAGTCAAAAATATTTTTCATTCTACATCTTGAGTCTGTGAAGAGACAGGTATCATGGTTCATCATTGGTTCTTTGGAATTATGATCGGTCATAACATTGATTAGAGCTCTTAAGTCTTTCAAATATTTGTCTTTATGACGTTGTCATTGTACAAATTATTCTATTGGTTCTGCTCATTTCACTTTCTATTAGTTCATGCAAGTCTTCCAAAGTTTCTCTGAAAGTCTTTCATTATTTCTTACAGCACAATAGTATTCCATTCCATTCATACAGCACAATTTGGTTAGTGCTTTCCCAATTGATGGGTACCCCTTTGGGTTTAGTTCTTTGCAAGCACAAAAAGAGACAATATAAATATTTTTATATGAATGGGTCCTATTCTTATTTCCTTGTTCTTTCTGGGGCCAGCCAACCTGGATATTCAGGATTTGATATCCATTTGATTCAGTCGACCTAAATATTTATCTTCAAATCTCATTATACATGAATAAGCTGTCTTTCTGCTACAAACTGAGCCGGCATGAGTTTGGGTACCATGAGCTGGTTTCCATTATTGCTATTAATAAAAACCAGCATTTAAATAATACTTTAATATTTTTGGAGCACTTTGCATACATGATTTAATGTGCCCAATCCAAAACTTACACATGCACACAGTCACACAAAACTGAAACACTCATACATCTCTATGAAGGACAGCTTGGCCTAGGGGATAGAGTACTGGTCCCAGCCTCAGGGTTCAAATCCTGTCTCTGATACTGACTAGATAGTTGCCTGTGAGCAAGTTTCTCAGAGCCTCAATTTCCTAACCTGTAAGATGTGGATAATAATATCTTTAGTGTCTACCTACCAGGGTTGTTGTGTGATTCAAATGAGTTATTGTAGGTATACTATTTTTAAATCTTAAAGTGCCATATAAATGTGAACTATTGTTATTATTACTTGTATTTTGTTAGCTAACTCTGTAGGAGTCTACGAAGTTGCAAGACAGCTCCTATGGACTTGGTGACAAACTGTGAGCCGTCATCTGAGGACCAGCCTAGCTAAGTTCATGGGAGCTCATCATCAGAAGATTGAGAGCTACTTGAGAGCGAATCCAGTCAAAAGGATGACATTATAGAAAGCTTATTATCTCAAGCTAGAGGAAGTACCCACACTAAGGAAATGTGAGAATCTCCACACAGGAGACAGAAGAGACTAAAAGGAAAAAGAGCAAGGAAGAATTACCACACCTACTCTACATTTTTTTTTTTTTTTTTCTAGGCAGTTGGGGTTAAGTGACTTGCCCAGGGTCACACAGCTAGTTGTGTCAAGTGTTTGGCCTGAGGCCGGATTTGAACTCAGGTCCTCCTGCCTTCAGAGCTGGTGCTCTATTCACTGTGCCACTTAGCTGCCCCTCTACTCTACATTTTTAAAACCCTTGGAGGCATGATTATGGACCAATAAAAGCCTACAAACCAATATTGTTCGATATTGGGCAAGAAGGAGGCTCACTGTCTTTCTCATTATTAAAATAAGTTTTACTTTCACAAGCCTGCTATTTCTTTTCAGAAAGCCCATACATTTAAATAAGTCTGAATCATATGGAAACTTTCAAATCATCACATTGCAATCATAAATATTTATTGAATGTTATATGTATGTATACACACACATACATATTTACATTCATATAGATATGAATATACAGCACTGTCCTAGGCATTTTGGATATTAAAAAAAAAAGCTTAAGCAATGGTATCGGCCCTTGAGGGAATTACAACTATTTGGGAATACAGTTCACAAAACATAAAAACAGATGTAAGCCCTTTGAGGACAGGGGGTGTTTCTTTTTTTGTTCCTATATCTCTAGCATCTCGCACAGTGTGTGTCATATAGCAGGTTCCTAATAACTGCTTGTTTTTTTTTTTTTTATCAGATTAGAACCTGGTAGTTGATGGTTAACACTTTTAAGTGCTGGCATTACTTGGTTTTTAGTGGTTTTCTTGGCTATTTTTCTAAAATGTGCTATGATATACACTTCCTAACCCCTTCCAAAGAGGTCCAAATTCCTGATTTTATTGACATAAAAACTGAAGCCCAAGTTCCCTTCCAGCTGCAGACTGAGAGCAAGAGACCAGCAGGCAGTTGGTGAGTGGAGACAGACGACAGTTCTAAGTTGCGGCTTATACAGGTCCCAGCATTACAACCATGTCTTCACATGCAGAAATAGTACCTGTGCTCAGAAAAGCCTTTGCTTTCCTCAGGCCCTCACAGAGTCATTGAGAGGTAACATAATAATGCTTATCCCTTTCAGTACAGGAACAGACAAAAGCCACTTTTCCTTTCAGAACCTTGCGAAATAGCTACAGAGCTGACTGGCGCACCTGGTGCTCCGCAAATAGGAGGGAGAGTTTGTCTCTGTGGCCGGGGCTTAGGGTCCCTGTTCTTCAGTTGCAAGCTGAGTCCCTCCTTGGGGCGGTGCTTGGTAACTTTAGATCTTATTTGCCAAGTGCCCCGTTTCCCAATATGTTTTGCCGTTTGTTGGGAAGGACACTTTTGCTCAATCGGTTCTCAGAAGTACCCGCTGCACCCAACCCACTTCATGAACAAGGGCAAGTCCCGGAGATCCTTAAAAAAACAGCATTGTATACATTAACCACTTTGCCTTCTAGTTCTAGCCTCTAATAATTTTTTAGTTCCAGCTGTCAGCAGCTGCAGCAGCTGTTGGCAGCGTCAGGATGCTTTTCAGGGAGTCCGCTGCTTTAAAAACAAAAAAAAGTTTATGTTTTTCTGAGCTAGTAAGAAAAATAACTTTATTTCATTCTGTTCCACTTCTTGGAACAATTAGATAAAACAAGACATGGTGTTCTGCCGTCGTTTTCTTTCACATCTGAATAGCTTTCAGTTTGGAATTGCTTTAAAAAGCAACAGTTCTTCAACTCCTCTCCTCTCCTCTCTTTTCCTCTCTTCTCCTTTCCTCTCTAAAATAAACTAAGAGGTTATTTGGAAAAACATGATGCAGGAAAGCTACTCCCTGAGTATGAATCAAGGTGGATTTCTGAGTACTTGAGGAAGAAAATGCAGAAAAGCCAGTTGAGTAGGCTTCTGCATTTAGTAGGAGACGATGAAGGCAAGAAGATCCATGGCAGATGACCTTTTCTCTCATGCTCTTGGTGACCAGTCCATTTTCCTTTTCTCATAGGATTCTCCACCAAGAAATCTAGAATCTCTTAATCTTCGTAAAAGAAATGAAGGTCTTACTGCCGGTTCCTTAGGAGACAACTGAAAGAGAAAGTAAGTTTGTGCAAACAGAGAGCTAGGAGGTCTTGGTTTTCTCACGGTGGGAGGGGTCAAATGGAACTGCTGATTTAACTAGTGAATGCACTTCCTGCTGGGCAGTCCCTGTTAACCCATTTAATGAAGGTTTAAGTGACTGAATTTCTTACTCTGTCGAGAGTCAGACCCTTTCCTATGGCTAGTAAACCTGGAAGAAGGCCACAGACCCCGCCGCCGCCGCCGCAGCCGCAGCAGCCCCAGCCAGAGCAGCAGCAGCGGCGATGGGACAAACTGCTTACCTTCCAGCATTTCCAGACCACTTCTCTCTCAAAGCACAGCTATGGTTATGTCCAAGGCAGCATGAAAGCACTGATAGAGAGTGAATTCAGCAGACTGAGAGGTAATTAACACGGAACCAAGAGAACCTGTGGGTGTCTGGGGAGAGGAGGGAGGTGAGTGTAAAGGTGAAGAGAAAGCTGTGGAGAAGGTGGCAAACCGTTGTTTTCTTGATGACAGACATTCATGTATTTTAATTTAAAAATGAAATAACGTAGTATTTAACTCTTTCAAATTAATCTCTTGACCATAAAGTGATACACTGGATCTGAAGTCAGAGGAACAAAGTTTGAATTCTGTCTCTGCTTTTTATTATCTCCTAGACTCAGTTTTCTCATCAGTAAAATGAGAGCGTTGGACTAACTTATCTTTAAGTTCCTATGAGCCTTTTCGGTGATGATTTTTGCAGTAAGCAAATTATCAGTGAGCCCTGAAGGCCCCTCATTTCCATGGAAACTATCTTTAAATTTTTAAAATTAATTTCCCCCCTCCCATCCCCATCGGGGGGAAAAAAAACCAAAATCTTGTAACAGCTATACATAGTCAAGTAAAACAAATTCTCTCACTGGATATTTCAGAAAATAGGTAGTTCTCAGTCTGCATCCTGACTCTCTTACCTCTCTGTCTGAAGGTGAAAAGGGTGGAAAGGTGGCTGTCTAATGCTTTTGCCAGGTCAGACCCAAAGACATCTTGTCAATGCCTTGGGTTTTTTCCTCTAAACAAAGTATATAGGGACTCTGCACCTGAAGTTCTTTGGAAAGGTCAGAATGACCTGCTCAGGACAGTGAATTTGAGTTTTCATGACACAGAAATGAAGTAACCTAAACTAAGTCAGACTTACCCTATTTTCCTGGCACAGTGAGAGTTTATCTCATGCTTCAACCTATACTATTGCATGCTCTTGCAATTTCTCTTTTTACTGAGCACCATAAGCTCAAAGACAGAACTTTCTGATTTGATTAATTAGTGAAATGCAAGAATTTTCTAAGTCAGCAATTATTAGCTTGGCCTAGTTAGCTTAGGTGGCTTTAATGAGTCCAATTAACTTCCCATAGAAATTCTCTACACCTATAGCCACTGCCTACCCATTTCACAAGCTCTCAGAGATTAGGAGAGAATATGATAAGCTTCTATATGAACAGATTGGAAAGGCAACCCCAAATTATGTGATCCTGTGATGATGACTCTTTAATGTCCCTTATGCTACAGGGAAGATACCATAACAGTAGCTATCCAGAGAGCAAGTTCTGGAAAACGAGAAGGAAAGTGAATGTTAAGTGAATGTGACTAAATGGCTCTGAAATCTTGTCTATTCTCTTCCAGATTTACTATGTGACTCATGTCATTTAAATTTTTTTGAGCTTTAATTTCTCATTTGTTTGAAAAAAAAAGTTAATATTTTCTAACTAACTAGCCCAGTACGAAAGTTTAGAGGACTGATTGGTGAAATCTGCGTTCTAAGTCCAAAGTGACTCCATGCTCCAAATGTGCCTAAATTGAAAGTAGTTAAGGATAGAAGCTCAAGACTTCTCTGCCTCACCCATTACTTTTGACCTTTCTGGATGAAAGGTTCTCTGTGAAAGAGCAGTCTTATTAAAATGGAATTCACAATCAGTTCCAACTTAGTTGGGGGGGCTATGCCACAAATTATAGTAAGTTGTTGGGAATAGGACATCCTCTTGCCTAGGTCAAGAATGGCCCTGTCACAGCCTCCTGAACCTTCTGAGTTCAGCCTGATCTGGACACTCCCTGACTTATCAGATAACCAATTTATGACTGCGCACATGGAGGGCAGCAATGGGAGTCCCCTCCCCTTGTCCCTAGCCATGGAAATTTAAAAATGTTCCTTGAACTCTTGTGTTTTTTTTTTCCTCCACAGGAGAGGATAGGGGAATCTAGCTTTACCATTTACCCCAGGATCCACATATGCACCTATAATTTAATTTAATTAAACAAACATTTCTCTCTGCTGTGTACCTCAGAGCATTGTGCCCAGTTAGTGAGGGACATTTAGAGGTTTACAGTACAGTAAGGGGAGAAGGGAATGATACCTCTATTTCCACTTAACTTTCTTGTCTCTTCTTCCTTCTTTCAATCCCCAGTCATTTCTGTCACCCTCTTGGTCCCTTCCATGGCCTTGGTGGTCCCCTCTTTTTCTTTCCCAGTCCTTTCAGGGCAGTCAGCCCCTTCTAGTATCCTCAAACTTTTTAGGTAGCCTTTAGTCTCCAAAGTGAGAAAGGGGAAGCAGGAAGGAAGAAGAAGGAAGGAGGGAGGGAGAGGGAGAGAGAGAGAATGAACATGTGTTATGTGTGTGGCAGGTGAAAGTTGAAATAACTGAGGAAACAGAGGTTCCAGCTTCCAAGCCTAATGATTTATTAATAGTTGCATGCCAATTGCATAACACATTGGGACCAGGCCTCTTCAGTTTGGCATTGGGCCCTCAAGATGAGGAATACAGATTTTTATGCATTAGAAGAAAACAATAGGATATAAATCAGGATGCAAGATTAGATCATCTGATTTCTAATTGGAGGAAAGAGTAGGGGCTTTCTGAGTTAGGAGGGGGAGAGCATACAGGTAATTCAATCAAAGAAACATTGGCCAGTTTGGGGCCAATTTTCAGATAAGACATATGGTTGCTTAAGATGTATAACTGGTAGACAATTCCTTGCATCAGTCTTTGGATCTGATTGAGTTTCTGGTCAGCCTAACCTAGGCCCTTAGTTAAGGGTCTCTAAGCAGTAGGTAGAGGTGGTCCAGCTTCCCAGCCACATAGAGCTAGGTTCAAACAATGCAATAAAGTTTTTCACAATTCCCATAACTTAATAAAGTTTTCTAACAAGTTAGGAATTGGACTAGGTCTATAATTGAATAGAAAAGGAACTGAGCTAGATCTAGAATAGAATCACAAGATGGATTCAATGTGGTTCCCTCAGTTCCCACGAGTCCCACGTAACGTAATGTGTTTCTAGCATTTTTGCATTCCCTTCTCTCCTCAAACCATAGAAATGATGTCTTATATATATGGAACTTAGACTCTTAGGGTAGTTTCAGAAATATCGTTTTCACGTTGAAACGTAGTATTAATAATAAAAAAGTTAGCGTTTATGTTAGTTAGTATCTACTATGTGCCAGATGCTGTCCTAAGCACTTTCACAAATATCATCTCATTTGGTCCTCACAACCACCTTGTAAAGTAGGTGCTATTATTATTCCCATTTCTCATTTGAGGAAACTGAACCACACAGAGGGTAGGTTACTTGCTCCGGGCCATACAGCTAGCAAGCGTCTGATGCTGGATTTGCACTTAAGCTTTCCTGACCTTAGGCCCAGTACTGTATCCACTGTGCTGCATTATTTACATCATCCATTTCAACTGCTTTGTGGGTAAAATAGGTATGATGGGAAAATCCTGTGATACTCTAGGATAGTGGTAACAGACTCAGATAGAAGTGATGCCTGGGGCCCACATGCTGATTTAGAAAACTACCAATTAACATTATCTATGTTGATTGTATTTTTACTTATTTTGTTAAATATTTCCCAATTACATTTTAATCTGGTTGAAGTTGAATTAGGTTGCTGACCACATTTTTTTTTAGGCAATTGGGGTTAAGTGACTTGCCCAGGGTTGCACAGCTAGTAAGTGTCAAATGTTTGGTCTGAGGCCAGATTTGAACTCAGGTCCTCCTGACTTCAGGGCCAGTGCTCTATCCTCTGCACCAATGCAACAAGTACTAAAATTTTGCTGCCACGAGCCTTTGTTGTGGGAAGAGTCAGAACTAACAACTTGAGATGGACCCTTTGGCACTGGTAGTTCATGACTTTGAGTCATGAAGACCTGGATTCAAATTCAGACACTAGCTCTGTGGCCTTCATTAGGTGACTTGACCTCTCTGAGCCCTATGATTTCCTCATTTGAAAGCATATACAAATTTTCTGGGTAAAAACAAACAAATAAACCAGAAACCAAGGGAAACATTTAAATACAAAAATGACACTGCATGGGTCCATGGTATACAGATTGGGAACCATGCATGTAGAACATAAAATTAAATGGATTCTGGAAGTCTTTTTTTTTTTAAGTGCCTGAAGACAGTTTGCCTTTGTGTTCATTACATTCTTCACACAAAGGTAAAGCATGTAGGCATCAATGAATGAATGATGGCAGAGTGGCAGAACTGGGATTTGATCTCAGGTTTTGGCATTCTTTCCACTATACTATGCTGCCTCCCTTACCGCAAATGCCTTTTGATCCAACTTCTTCATCTTACAAAGGAGAAAACATAGGCACAAAAGTTGTGATTTACCCAAGGTCACTTATGTTATAAATAGCTTGGTTATTGTTCAGTTGTATCTAACTCTTTGTGACCCCATTTGGGGTTCTCTTGGCAAAGAAACTGAAATGGTTTGCTGTTTCCTTGAACAGCTCATTTTATAGATGAGGAAACTGAGGCAAACAGGGTTAGGTGACTTGCCCAGGGTCACATGGCTAAGAAATGTCCATGTCTGGATTTGAACTGAGTCCTTCTGACTGTAGGACTGGTGCTCTATCATGGCATTACCTACTTGCCCCCTTGTAAGCAGCAGAGGCAGGATGCAACCCTAAGTCTTCTGACTCTGGAGGCAGGGCTTTTCCCTCTGTAATACACACACGAATGACTACTGTACAAAAATGCTACAAGAAAAGTTCACCAGTGGGGAGCAAAATGCCACGTGAAGTCTGAGGCAAGGAAAGGTAATTTCTGACTGAGTAGATCCAAGGAGGCTGCTTAGAAGAGGTATCATTTGAGTTAACTTTTAAAAGATGAGTAGAAATTGAACAAATTAAGTAGTATGTACAAGGGTAAGATATTTTGGTTGGAAGTGAGTGAGCAGTACTCCCGTTTTTGCTAAAAATGCATGTATATACATAAATGGGCTACTAAGTAGCACAGTGGATAGTACACCAGGCCTGGCATCAGTAAGACCTGAGTTTAAATCCAGCCTCAGACACTTCTTAGCTGTGTGACCCTGGGCAAGTCACTCACCACTGCTTGCCTCAGTTTCCTCATCTGTAAAATGAGCTGGAGAAGGAAATGGAAAACCACTCCAGTATCTTTGCCAAGAAAACCCTCAAAGCGGTCACAAAGAGTCAGACATGACTGACATGACTAAACAACGCCGCCGCTGTGTGGAGTACAAAATGAGGCGAGAGGGATGGTGGTACCAGTCTGTGGAAGACCTTGAAGGGCAGACAAAAGAATTTGAACTGTATGTTTGAAACTTGTCTGTCTTCTTTCCTACCTCTCCCTCAGTTCTCTGTAACAGAGATAGAGTAGGGCCTAAGGTGGAAGAATGATGAATTACTTCCCTTCATCCTCCTTCCTTCTTTCCGTATCAGCAAGTAGGAGGAGGAAGTATTTCTATTGTTCATTCTCTTCTCCAGACATGGCCACTGGGTGGGGAGGCCTTCTTTTCTAGCTTTTGAAACTGTTCGACTATAAGAAGGTAAAAGTCATTACTTCTCCAAGAAAAAGGGATTTATGAGATTCATACTTTACCAGGTAACATGACATTTCCAGTTTTAAAACCTGAGAGAGCATTAAAGAAACCTCAGTATTTTAAAAATAATTCAATGTACAATGTTGTCTTTGACATCAACATTTTGAAATTATCTAGAAAAATGGAACCTAACAAATAAATTCTCTAAGGTCCCTTCCAGCTCCAACCTTCTGTGAAATTAAATATATAGGATTAAGTTCCAGTTTCAAAGAAAATTAATGTAAGGAATAGAATTCCAGTGACTGTGAAATCAAATGTAGAAAGATCAAGAAGGTACATGGTGAAATGAAATGTGCTGGATTGCTGAACTCTGAATTTGATATCCAGAAATGTAACTTTTGTCATGTGTTTTCTTTTAGGAATTACATACCTTGACCATGCAGGAACAACTCTGTTTCCACAAAGTCAGCTTACAAAGTTTATGGATGATTTAACCAAAAATATTTATGGTAAATGCCAAGAAACTTTCATTTGTTCTTTTTCTCAAAATTTAGCCAAATGAACTGTCATAGGGACCAACATAGTTTTGAGAACATAGTGGGTATATTTACATATTTGATGAGTTGATGGCATTGAACGGTGTTTGACTTGAAGTGGGATTTAGATGAATACCTGGAAGAGAACTGGAAGAGATGCAGGTGTGCCAAATATGTGAGTCAGAGAGTGTGTATCCTTGAGCAATCAATTAACTCTTTATTGAGTAACTGCTATTTTACAAATAAAACTCAGTACAGGATTAGCATTCACAGAGATAGATCTGAGGAAGGATCTTATGAAGAATCAGAGATTATAGGGGGACATGATTGTTGTCTTCAACAACTAAATTAATTAATCAATCAATAAATAATGATTTATTAAGTGCTTACTAGGTGCCGTCACTGTGTTAAGCAGTACAGATATAAAAGAGGCAAAAGACAATCCTTGCCCTCAAGGAACTTACACTTTAATGGAGGAGACACCGTGCAAACAAATACATACAGAACAAACTGCATATAGGATAAATAGGAGATAATTAAAGAGAGAAAGCATTGGTTTAAAATCAAAGGGAATGGAGAAGGCTTCCTGTAGAAGGTAGGATTTTCACTGGGACTTAAAAGAAATCAAGGAGGTCAGTAGTCAGAGTTGGGAAGGGAAAACATTTCGGGGGATGGGGGACAGCTGGAGAGAATTCCTGGAGCTGAGAGATGGAGTGTCTGGTTCATGGGACACCGAAAAGCCAGTGTCACTGGATTGAGGAGTACATGTTGGGGAGTAAGGTGTATGAAGACTGGAAAGGTAGAGCAGGGGCTGGGTTATGAAAGGCTTTTAATGCCAAACAGAACATCTTGGATTTGATCCTAGAGGCAATAGAAAGCTATTGGAGTTTAGTGAATAGGGCAAGACATCATCAGAACATGCTTTAGGAAAATCACTTTGGTGGCCGAGTATAAGATGAATTGGAATAGGGAGAGATTTGAGGTAGGCAGACCCACCAGTAGGCTATTGCAATAATCTACGCATGAGGTGATGAAGGCCTGCTCTAGAGTGATGGCAGTGTCAAAAGAGAGAAGGGGGTGTATTTGAGGGATATTGCAAGGGTGAAACCATCAGGCCTTGGAAGCAGATTGGATAGGGTGTGGGGCAGGAATGAGAGATGTTAAAGAATTTAAAATGACTCCTAGGTTGCAAGCCTGAGGAACTGGGAGGATGGTGACATCCTCTGCAGTAATAGGGAAAGTGGAGGAGGGGAAAAGGTTTTGGGGGGAGATAATCAGTTCCATTTTGGATGCATCATGTTTAAGATATCTACTGGATATCCAGATGGAGATATCTGAATGACAGTTGGGGATGTGAGATTGGAGGTCAGCACAGAATTTGGAGCAGGATAGATTTGAGAATTATCAGCATAGAGATAGTATTAAATCCACGGGAGTTGATGATATACCAAGAGAAGTAATATAAAGGTAGGAGAGCAGAGGGCCCAGGACAGAAACCTGGGAACACCTATGGTTAGAGGGTATGATCTGGAAGAAGATCCAGCAAAGGAGACAGAAAAGGAGCCATCATATAGAAAGGAGGGGAAGCAGGAAAGAATGGTGTCATGTAAACCTAGAGAGAAGAGAATATCATGGAGAGGGATCAACAGTGTCAAAGGCTGCAACGTCAAGGAGAGGAAGGAGTGAGAAAAAGCATGTGAATTTGGCAACCAAGTGATCTTTAGTAACTTTGGAGAGAGAGTTTTGGTGGAATGACAGATAAGTTTGGAAGCCATATTTAAGAGGTTGGGAGTGAGAGGAGAGAAAGTAGAGGCACCTATATTAGAAGACCCTTTCAAGGAGTTTAGCTGCAGAGGGCAAAAGAGATATAGGATGATAGTGGGGATAGAAGGATCAAGTGAGGGTTTTTTCAGGATGAGAGAGATATGGGAATGTTTGTAGGCAGTAGGAAGTGAGCCACTAGAGAAGGAGAAATTGAAAATAAGTGAAAGAGTAGTATAGATGTTGTGGGGAGGGCAATTTGATGAAGTAGATGGGGTGGAATAGGATTGCTTGAACCAATAGAGGGGTTAGCTTTGGCAAGGAATAAGGCCACTTCATCATGTGAGACGGGTGAAGGAGGGCATCTGAATTACAGGAGATGAGGAAGAGAAGAGAAGGAGGAGTTCACAGTAAATGCCTTTATTTTTTTTCTGTAAACAATGAGGCAAGGTTATCAGCTGACAGAGTGGATGGAAGGGTATCCAAGGGAGGTTTGAGGAGTGATAAAAAGGTTTGGAAGAGCCACGGTGGAGAATGGGATAATGAGTGGATAAGGAAGGTGTAGGAGGATTGCCTCGCAACGGGAAGGGTCCAGTTGAGGTTGGGCAGTGAAGCCAGTCAGAACAGTTGCATGATTCTCTCTACCTTTGTTCTGCAGCACACGTGAAGGAGCAAAGGCAATGAATGGCAGGAGTATGATCTAAGTTGAGGCTTGGCAGGGCAGAATTAGTGACTTGACAAGAAGGCTGAGGATTCAAGAAAGGAGAAGAGTACAGAGTTGAATTAGCTCGTCAAAGAGTCCAAGTAGGAAGAAGAGGAGAGAGCAGCTAGTGCAGGGGAGATGGCCTGGAAGAGAATTGAGGGGTCAGGAAATGGGAAGTCACAGTAGAGATGAAGAATAGGGTTTTGTAAGGAAAGGCAGAGAGAGAGGCGAAAAGCCAATAGATTATGGCTAGAAAACAGGATTTTGGAATTCTTGAACATGGAAGTGGTACATTGTATAGGCCTCTGGCAACCAAAGTTCTGAGCAAGTGTGGAATGTGTGCCGTTCTGTTTTAGGACCAACTAGACAATAAAACACTTATTAAATATCTACTATGTGTCAGGAGCTCTGCTAGGCACAGGAGATATGGATACCAAGGATTTAATAATCTCTACTTTCAAGGAACTTCCAAATTAATAGGGAAACAAGTACACATATAAATATGGCATTCATATAAAGTGAATGCAGAGAAACATAACAAGTTAAGTACAAGATAATTTGAAAGGCAGAACACTAGCAGTTGGGGGTGAGGATCAGAAAAGTCTTCATATGGAGATAGTTCTTGAGCTGCATATTAAAGGAAGAGAGGGCTCTGTGACAGGTGAGAATGAAGCACATTATGAGTTTGTGGGATAGCCACTGCCAGCAAACCACTCTAGCATATTTGCCAAGAAAACTCCAAAATGGGATCATGAAGAGTCAGATACGACTAAAACAATTCAACAACACCAACTTCAGAAGAACAGAGAGGGTAGATGGAGTTTCAAGTGTGACGAACAGAAGGAAGGCCAGACTGGCTGGATCATAGTGTAGGGGAAGGAGAGGAATGTCCAGTCTAGAAAGAGAGGTAGGGGCAAGGTTGCAAGAGCTTTAAAAGCCAAAAAGAGGAGTGTATATTTTATCCTAGAGGCAATAGGAAGTCAATGGCATTGATTGAGTATGGGAGTAACAGGGTGTTATCTGCATTTAAGGAAGCTGGGGGCCTGGTTATGAGAATTCTGCTGTTCAGGCCCTTGTAGGTTAGAGGGCAGTGGGTTCATTCACCCTCCTGAGCTAGCAGAGACTGTTCCAGCTCTGATGTTGATTGAATTATCCCTCTCTCCATTAGGTATGAGGGGGAGGAGCTAAGTCTCTGATCCTGGGAGTATTGTGTATAGAGAATATATTCAGAAAGAAGTAGATTTGTTATATGAGATCATAGAAAGGAAAAGTAGGACCAATGAGTCAGTGATAGAGAGGTAAATTTCAGTTCAACTTGACAAAGAACTTGACCAGTAGTTAGAGCTGCCCAGTAATGAATAGGTTGCCTTATGAACACGTACCTTATCCCTGGGAAGAGTAGGGTAGCAAATGAGTATCTACTAAAGATACTAAAGAAGAGAATCTTGGCTTGGGTAAGGATTTAACTGAATGACCTGGGGAATCCAATCTCAGAGGTCTACATTTCTACCTTTTCCATCTCTCCAGACTAGTCAGAGATTGTATTTTGATGAAGCACAAAAGGAGAGTATATATTTGTGATTTGACAGCCTTATTTTTTTTCCCCTAGGTAATCCTCATAGCCAGCATATCAGCAGCAAACTTACTTATGACACCATTGAACATGTGCGGTATAGGTAGGAGAAATATATTTTCATCCATGTTACTATTTGGTACTTATTCTTCATATTTCTCTGGTTATGACATTTTGTCTTTGATTAGTTTGTCTTTTATGTGAACGGCATATCCGTGTTTTCTCTTGTTATTCTGAGGTTTGAAGCACTTTGACCATACATTAGGTACCATCTGATAATTTGTTGATCTGGATCTGTGATTTCTTTTTTTTTCTTTTTTCTTTCTTTCTTTTTTTTTAATTTTTAGGCAGTTGGGGTTAAGCGACTTGCCCAGGGTCACACAGCTAGTAAGTGTCAAGTGTTTGGTCTGAGGCCGGATTTGAACTCAGGTCCTCTGAATCCAGGGCTGGTGCTCTATCTCCTGCACCACCTAGTTGCTCCCTGGATCTGTGATTTCACCAAAGAAGATTGCATATTGAAGTCTTGTAAAGTTATCTGGAGCACAGAGTGGTCAAATGACTAACCCAAGGTCACATAGCCTATCAGAGACAGTCCTGGATTCAAGACTTCAAAGTTGCCTCTCAATCCACTATGCAACACTGCCTATCCCAGATGAGGTTCTATCTGCTATCCTGTAGATGAAACCAAGCAACAAAATATTGGTATGAGATGGCAGGAAGATTTTTGTGGGGGTGTGTCCTGTGAAGTCTTACAAAGAAGAGAAAGACTAGCAAGAACAAATCAAGTAGCTAAGGAAGCAATTTGATTTTAATGCCAATATTTGTCAACTTTTTTTCCTTCTTCTATTTTTTGCTAGGCACTGGGGTTAAGTGACTTGCCCAGAGTCACACAGTTAGTGAGTGTTATGTGTCTGAGGTCGGATTTGAACTCTGGTCCTCCTGACTCCAGGGCCGGTACTCTATTCACTGAGCCACCTAGCTTCCCCCTATTTTCCAACTTTTGATGCAAGAGTAGCAGACTCTTCAATTTGCTACAGATTCTCCCCCCCCTGCCCCAAAAGGGTAGTGGATAGAGATCCAGCCTTGAAGCCACGAAGACCTGGGTTCAAGTCTCCTTTCTCACACATACTTACTTGCACAACTTTTCACTACTCTAGGCAACTCTCCAGGGTTAAGTTATTGAGAATGTGCCAATTTAAATTTGTTGAGGGAGTTTCCTCACCTGAGAGTCCCCTGTATACCAGTGAAAGTACAGATCCAGTCCCTATTCCCTATTTCATAACAGGTCTGTGTAGTGTCATCATATCCACCAGTGTTACAACCTCACAAGCTTACCTTAGCAGTTAAGCTAGTATTATGCTTAGTTAACATGATAACAGAATAATACTGAGAGGCCAAAACAAATGTCAGATAGCCTCAAGTGTCAATAAGATTGTTGGCCAGAAAAGTCTGGAAGAAAGGATCAAAGCACTAGTGTACCACCACCTTTCTTTCATGGTTTATTTTGTCCTTTCAACTTTCTTTCATAGCTTTTGAATCTATTTAATTTATTTGGATTTACTAATTTTCTTCATTTGAACCAGATATTATTTCTAATTCTTTATTTATATCTAACTTTGGAAATGTGTAAAATATTTCTGTACCCATTAGACCAAAATATTCCAAGGAAAACTGTTGTATGACCTTAATTTTTTTCAATAAGACAAATTTGTTTTCTTTCTGTCTAACCTCCTACCTCCCTTTGAAAAAGAAAAACCAAAATCCTTGTAACAAATAGCTATAGTCAAGTAAAATAAATTCTCAAATTGGTCATGTCTAAGAAATATGTCTATACCCTGAGGTCATTAGGGGAGTGGTATGCTTCATCATCAGTCTTCTGGAGTCATGTTTGCTCATTGAGTTTATCAGAATTTTAAAATTTTGGAATTGCTTGTTTTTATAATGTACATGGTATTTCCAAAAGAGAGCAGAAGAGAAAAGGAATTGAAAAAAAATCACAGAGAAAGTACAAGATAACAGACCAGCCTGGCTATTTGATAGTGAAGGTAAACTAGAAAAGACATTTGTCAGGACTGGATTTGTGGTGTCTGCATAGAAAACACAAATAATATTTACAAAAATCAGTTAAATACCAACAGGAAAAGATGACGGTTTGATCAAGGGTCATTGAAAAACTTCAGCAGCATATGGCTGACCCAGTAGACCTAACAATTGTACTTAAAGCATCAAGCCAGAAAGCCATCTATTCAGGACAGCCTGGAATCCAAGATAAGACATTCCAATCAAAAATAAGAACTCTACTTTTTAAAAACATTGATCTAAGACCAATAGGTAGGCAACTTCCAAGATAGGTAGTGTGCATGAAACTCACAAGAATAGGAATAGACATTCAACCCAGTCTTCAAGCAGAAGTATATACAGGAGAGAATCACGCACAGCTGGGGAGAAACCCATAACAATAAAATATAGACCTGAAGGAATATATTCAGTCTATAATAGGAGAATTCTTCACCAATCTAAGAAAAAGGTGTGCAATGAAGTGTTAGAAACTGAGAGTGATTATTCTGTGTTTGAAAATTTGAGAGATTCTATTAATTTTGAAGCAGTAATGTTAATTTCTCATAAATCTCATTTTCACTTTTTAATCAAGCTTTCCCCAAAATCCCAGCTGCTTAATACAGATTACTTGCAATGACAAGCTTTATGCACATTACAGGACATAGAAAACAGACATTTCTTAGAGTAATAGAGGAGCACATGTCAAATCTGATATTTATTAATCAAAATCAATACACAACATGTAGTTAGTATCTACTCTGTGTTAGGTACTGGAGATGCAAAGAAAAAAAAAAGAAAATTCTTGCTTTCAAAGAGTTTACATTCTGCTGGAGTTTGGGGGAGAGACGATATGCGCAGATAAACATATACAAAGTAAATTCAAGGTAATTTAGGAGGAAGAGTGAGAGAGGCATCAAGTCATGAAGTGACAACTTCATTTTAAGAAATGTAAATTTTGTTACCTTCTGGCCAAGCTGAAGAAACCAACATGACATGTAGCCCAGGCAACCTCACACTGTACTGTGCCATGCCGTGCAGGATGATGGGGAAAAGGTATCACTTTTTTATATATTTCAACAAACAGGCCCTTATTAAGTGACTGCTGTAAGATTGTATTTAAATTTATAATTATATACTTGGATTTAATTAAGATTTGTTCTGTCCTGCCTCAAATTCATATGAGACATGTTAAGGCTGGAGAAATTTAAACTTGGTGGCATTACTGTCGATTTTACATTGCCATGCCCACTTTCTACCTCAAATCACAGCTAATACTAATGGTGTTTTGTCTTTAAACTAAGGTTGACATTTTAGGACTAGGTGACTCGTGGCAAGGAGATATAGATGATGTTTAAAGTCAAAGCAAGAAATCAACCAAGAACCTTTCATTTTTCTTTCAGGGTCTTAGAACACTTCAATACCACTTCTGAAGACTACAGCATCATTTTTACCTCGGGGAGCACAGCTGCATTCAAACTGGTAGCAGAGGCCTTCCCATGGAAACCGGCAAGCTCAGAGGATGGGGGGAGCAGATTTTGTTACCTAACGGACAGCCACACATCCGTGGTGGGCATCAGGAAGATAGTTCAGGCAATGCAAGGGTCATCAATTGCTGTGAAACCAGAGGACATTTTGTTATCAGAGAAAAGCAATGGAGCAGTTTATCAACCAGCCTGCAAGACCCCTCATCTCTTCTGCTATCCAGCTCAGAGTAATTTTTCAGGAACTAGGTACCCCCTTTCTTGGATAGAAGTGCTGAAGTCTGGACGTCTGAGCCCCATGACCACTCCAGGGGAATGGTTTGTGTTGCTCGATGCAGCTGCCTATGTCAGCACCTCTTCTTTAGACCTGGCAGCCCACCCAGCGGATTTTATCCCCATTTCATTTTACAAAATCTTTGGGTTTCCCACTGGCTTAGGAGCACTGTTGGTAAACAATCGAGTTGCTCACTTCCTCCGGAAAACTTACTTTGGTGGAGGAACAGCTGCTGCATACCTTGCTGGAGAAGATTTCTACGTCCCCAGAAAATCTGTATCTGAAAGGTAATAGTTTACACCAGAGGGTAGGCTGCAAGGGACAAGATTAGCCTGGGAGCCAGGATTGGAGCCCACCTGTGTAGGAAGCATCTGGTCTAGGCTTAATATCAAGGGAAACAAGGAGCTGTCCAGTCCTTTGGCTGAATCCAGGGAGCATGGCTAAAGCAGGAAGGAATGGGCAAGAATTATAGATCCAAGAATCAATCAACAAGCATTTATTTAGATCCCACTAGGTGCCAGGCACTTTGCTAAGTGACTGCTGTCCTCACTCAGAGGCTTCCATCCATACTTGCCCCTCTTCACACTAGGAAAAAAAAAAGGATTTGCTTTGGCAGGTTAGGGCCCTTCTGAATGCATGCTTAGTTCTAGGTTAGAAGCCAGCTAAGAGGCTTTTTTCTTTACCACAAGGTAAGCAGATAGAAAGCAGTCATAGAATACCTGTGTATGCTTGCAAGTCCATGTGGGAGATTGTGCCAAACAGAACCTTCTAGACATGCTCATGAAGACTAGCCATTCATTAGCCAGCCCTTCTTTTCACTAAGACAAATATGTAACAGTCCTCCTTCAAGGACCTCACATTCTATTTATCATCTTAGAGGTGAGAAGTTTTAACAACCATGGTGCTAGTGACTAGGGCTGATGAACTCTGAACGTTCTTTTGTATTTTTTTTTGCCACCAACAAAATTACCAAATGTCAGGAGGGTGCCTTGCCCAGAGTTACCCAGCCAGTGTGTCTTTGAGATCTCCTTGATTTGAGGTCAGATCCCTATTCACCTTTCAGTGTTCTAGATAATGCTCTAACAATACATTCTGGAGCAGTAGCTGATTTGCACATGTGGAGGGAACTTCCTCACTTAGAAGTTTCTTACAAAAGCAGCATTTTAAGAGCAAAATTAATTATTTTTTTTTTTGTTTCGCAAGGGTAGAGTTTTGTTCTGGCAGGTAAAAAGAGTATCCGCTTGGCAATTCTGATATTTTATCCCTTTGCCATCATCACCATACGATTCTAGAACTATAGGAAGTGACTCAAAGTCACAGAATGAGGAGTCATGACTGAACAAGGACCAAATCTCTAACCTAAACTAATATCCTAACGTGGAGGAAGATGTAAAGCATTTATTGAGATCCCAGATAAACACAGCCAATAAACTACCCATGAAACTATTTGTTCTCTTAACTTAGGGTTTTTTTTGTTTTAATTTGATTTTTGTAGGTTTGAAGATGGTACGATTTCTTTTCTTGACATTATAGCATTGAAACATGGATTTGATGTTCTAGAAAGACTGACAGGTCAGTGGAAAGATTTTCCTTTCTATCTATGTGGATTTACTTCTGCCACATGTATTTTGCTCCTTAGAAGTTATTTTATAAATAAGTTGTATTTAATTTCATTTGTGTATATGTTCAATTTTTTTTGCCAACAAGAGAATAACTTACAAACTTTTTCTTTGCCAGGTGGAATGGAAAACATAAAACAACATACTTTCGCCTTGGCTCACTACACCTACACGGTGCTGGTTGCTCTCCGATACCCAAATGGAGCACCTGTGCTTCAGATTTACAGTGATACAGAGTTCAACAGTCCCGAGACCCAGGGTCCAATCATTAACTTTAATGTATTGGACGACAATGGAGTTATCATTGGTTATTCCCAGGTAGCTGGGTTTTTTCTCTTTCTCACCTGACTGATCTTAAAACTATAATATACACACTCCTCGTCCCCTCTTCCCCAATCTGGAAGGTCACAGTTAGATGGCAATTTTAAACCATTCAGAGAACAGCCCCTAAATGCTTTAGTAATCACAAGACTTTGAGCTGCTAAAGTTACCCTCACAAAACTCATTAACTAAAGCCTATGCAGTTTACTGTACAGGAACCTTTCCTGCCCTCAGGCCCTCACTTGGCTGCTATTTACTCTTTAAAAATATTTTTGCTCCCTTTTGATTTTATGTATCATATTTATTTCTCTTAGTGTGTGTACAAACTATATTTTGTGTGTCTATATTATCCCTTTCCTCTGCCTATCTGGTAAATTATCCCTTGTAATAATGATTCACTTATTCACTTCTATAGCAATCAAAACTACCAAAGAGTTGATTTTTAGGACTTAGAAGAAATAAGAACAAAATTTAATGAGGACAGTATATGCAGTATTCCTTACCCAAAGTGTCTTCAACTCTGCAACAAAGGGAAGGAAGTACAGTTTCTCTATTCTTCTCTGAAGCCATGCTATCATTATAATTGCAGAGAGATCAATTTCATTTAATTGTACTTTCCATTTTCATTGTTGTAATTGTGTATATTGTTTTCTTGGTTCTACGTACTTCATTTTGCATCAGATCAGATAATTCTTCATATTGACCATTTCTTTTTTTTATATTCACCATTTCTTATGGAATAATAATATTCCATTGTATTCATATTCTACAATTTGATTAGCCATCCTTCAATCTGTAGGTACCCATCTTGTTTCTGTTTCTTTTGTATCACCAAAAGTTCTGCTGTAAATAGTTTTTGTAAATAATTTAAAAAAAACTTGAAGTATTTGAACTCATTAGGGTACATGCATGGCAGTGGGATTTCTGTGTCTTAAGGTATGAACGTTTTATTTACCTTTAAAACATAATTCTAAATTTTTTTTCAAAATTTATTTACCTTTAAAACATAATTCTACATTTTCAGTTCACAGGTTCTTTGAAACTCAATTCTTTACCTGTAACATGAGGGCATTGGACATTATGGCCTCTAAGGTCCTTTCCAGCTCTAAATCTATGGTCCTACGAAACTAATGCACCTGTTTTCTCTTTGAAAAATTAAATAAAAATTTTAAATGAATAAATAATTATTTTCTCTCTGTACTTCTCACAAAAAACCCCAAATCCTTATAACAAAGATGCATAATCAAGCAAAACAAATTCCCATACTGACCATGTCAAAAAATGTATGTCTCATTTTGAACCCTGGGTCTATCATTTCTCTGTCAGAGGTGGGTAACATATAACACACTAATGTTAAATAGGTCTTACTTCTTACTTAAATACTTCTTACTAAATACTTATGGTTATTTATCCATAATTCAGTAGGAAAATTTTGAGGGATAATAGGTATGTTCAAGAAAGACTAAAGGTCTAATCTCATTATGGCAAACTCCAAAAATAGCTTTATTGGTACTAGCATTTTTCTGTGAATATTATCTAAAACAGTGGATCATTGTTTGGAAATTTCATTCTGTTGCTGTGTTGTAATTGTCATTTCTTGTCATACAGATTAATGTGTTAAATACTTTCACTTTAACTTAATGCAACAATTATCTTTTAAATGCTTCCCATGTGCCAAGCACAGTGCTAGATGCTAGAGATTTATTTTTGTCTAGACCAGTGATTTCATGGGTGTAGAGAACTCCCCTATGAAGAATATACCTTTGCAGTGCAGATTAGTAACTGTATTACTGTTTATGGTGTTTGAAAGCTGCCTGGTCCACTGAGAGGTGGTGAGTTACTCAGGGCCATACAGCCAATATGTGTCAGAGGGAGGGTATGAAGCCAGGCCTTCTTGACTCTGAGGTAGGCTCTTTGCTAAGCTTCTAGCTAAGATCAAGTATTATACCAGATTAGAGTAACAATTTTTTTAACTTTTTTTTTGGTGAGGCAATCGGGGTTAAGTAAGTTGCCCAGGGTCACACAGCCATTAAGTGTTAAGTGTCTGAGGCTGGATTTGAACTCAGGTCCTCCTGTCTCCAAGGCCAGAGCTCTATTCAGTGCACCACCTAGCTACCCCTAACAATTTTTTTTTTTTAAGAAAAGAATTTCTGCCCTGAAGGTGCTTGAATTCTAATTGTGTTGGGGGAAGGGTGGAAAAGAGCATGTATTATCAATAAATATAAATTTATATAAACTAGTTAGATAATAAAAAACACATATACATGTACAGCTATTCTCCAATTAATTTACACTTAATAAATTTATATTTAAATACATTTATATTTAATAACACAAATGTAACGAATTCATGATATGGACAGAGTTAGGGTTAGATGGGGCTAGAAGCAGAGTTGGGAATGTTAGAGCTGAATTCTGGGATTTAAAAATAATCCAATCTAATCCCTTCATTTTAAAGACTGGGAAGTAGAGAACCAGAGAGGTTGTGATTTTTCCCAAGGACCCATGGGTTAATGCAGGATCATAGATTCTTAGAACTTAGATCTTGGAAATTGTTTAGTCCAACTAGATTATTTGTACATTTTAATTAATCAATTTATTTTAAATTTTATATATAATTTATAAATGAAGAAAACAAGGCCTAGAGAGATAAAATATCGAGTCAGATACACTATTTCAGGCCATTCGAAGCACAGGATGTACATGTTAAAATAATATACTTGTTTCCTTATGCTATTTTCACATTTTATTTAATCCACAGATAGAAAAAATGGCCAGCCTTCACAATATACACGTTCGGACTGGATGTTTCTGTAACACAGGGGCGTGCCAGAGGCACCTGAGGATCAGCAACGAAACCGTCAGAAAGAACCTGCAGGTGAGTTCTGATCCCACTTGATGCTGCCTCACGTCCTAAAGAACGAAGCAAGACAAGACAGAGACACAGGCATGGGAAGACCACTGTTGTAAATTGATTCTGTCTAGGTTCCTTTCCGAGGGTGGGCACCTATCTTTATTAGTTAATTTTGCTTTGGCAAATTGCAGTGGCTTTGGATAGCAGAGGAAGGGAAGTTTTTAAAAAGTTGTTTCCTCTTTGAGTTTTTTCAAAAAAATCATATAACATCTGTGTATGTATCAGTAATTTATAATTAATTATTATTTTTTTTTTTTGGCTAGGCAATGGGGTTAAGTGACTTGCCCAGGGTCACACAGCTAGTAAGTGTCAAGTGTCTGAGGTCAGATTTGAACTCAGATCCTCCTGACTCCACTGCGCCCTAATTAATTTTTAAGGAAAGGCTATATGTTAGTGGTGGGGAGTAAATAAACCACAAAAGTCCCTAAATTATAATCTATTCAAAATGACTGCATGAATAAGGCATTTTTTTTTGAGCACTTAACTATGGTCAAGAGTGTGCAAAGTGCTGTAGAAACAAATAGAAAAGAAAGGCAGTCCCTGCTCTCAAGGTGGTTATACTCTAATAGATACATGGGGCATTCAGGGAGGGTTAGCATGTCTGGTGGGAGGGCTTACTGAGCCTTTTTCAGAGCTGCTCATCCACCTTTGGTGTCTACCTTCTTCCAACTCTCACCTGTGGCTGTAAACCATTTTGATAGATGGGCTGAATCAGGTTGAGGGTAGCCAACAGGCCTTAACCACGCCCAGCACTACCACCCTCAGTGAGTTAGGGAGATGTCTACCCCAAGCATGTGAAGACTTCTTCCAGAGTAATGGACAGATGAGAACCATTCCTCACCTGTTGCCCACCACCTCTTTGCTGAAAGGCAAGGATTTTTGGTAATAACTAATGAATTGACCCACACTATTAAGGTATCCTCAACACAAAAGCTGCTGTGGGCCATGCTCATTTTACAGGAGGGACACACCCTTTGACCCTCCCTTCTCCTACAAAAGAGTGAGAGATAGAGGAACAGACCCATGAGAGAGAATGTGTGCTACAGCAGAAGTCACGACGATTTTGAGTCACACATCCTGGGTTAGATTCCATCCCTTCTACTTATTATCTGTGTGACTCTGGGCAATCACTTCACCTCATTTGTAGTGAGGATGTTGAATTAGATGGCGTCTGAGGACCCTTTCAGCCCTAATTCATGATCCTATGAGCTTCTGTCCTTAAACCTCTCCAGGTGCCTTTGATCTCTCCTTTCCGGAGGCTGGAATCTTCCTCCTCGGATACAGGGATGGTGTCTCTGCAATTTCAAGCCTTTTGTGACATGGTGTCTCAAAAAAGGTTAAAGGGACATCACTATTGGGAGATTACAGGATTACCCATTTATGGAATTTTTATTGTTCAAGTATTGGATAGCACCAAATAGTGATTAAGTCAAATAGTTATTAAGTATATACAGTGGTCCTCTCCTCATGCAGTCCCTATCACTGCATGTTCTCATGTTTTGCATTTCTTGTAAAACTAGTATCATATCTCATAAAATTGTATTGTTCTCTCTGTCACCCTGGGTCCCTTCTCAGTCTAGCAGATCCCTTTTCAGATGCAAACAGAATTCACTCATTTTTTAAGGTTCCCCCACCCCTACCTCATCCAACCATTAGCTCTAGCCAACTGACTTCTGCCTGTTCCCAAGTAGAAACTTTTCACAAGATTTCCTGGTATGTAAATGTTTCCTGTTGTTCTGGGTGGAAAGCTTGTAGTTAGCTACCTGGAAAATTTTTTTTCTTTTGTGAGATTTTGAGTTCCAAATTTTTTTCCCTCCCTCTTTTCCCTCCCCTCTCCCCAAGAAAGCAAGCGATCTGATATAGGTTATACATGTACAATCATGTTAAACGTGTTTCCGCATTAGTCATGTTGTAAAAGAAGAATCAGAACAAAAGAAAAGCAAAACAAAACAAAAAATTAAAGTGAAAATAGCACGCTTCTTCTGCATTCAGACTCTATAGTTCTTTCTCTGCAAGAAGACAGCATTTTCCATCATCAGTCTTTTGGAACTGTCTTGGATCACTGTATTGCTGAGAAGAGCTAAATCTCAGAGTTGATTTATCACACAATGTTGCTGTTATTGTGTGCAGTATTTTCCTGGTTCTTCTCACTTCACTCAGCATCAATTCATGTAAGTCTTGCTACATGGAAAGATTGGCATGAAATCCCTGGACTCTCTTGGGAGCAGAATTTTTTTTTGTCCTTGGGCCTCATTGCATTAATTCTGATTTACCTACCAGCCTGAACTTATATAGCCATGTGTCTCAGAATCAATGTCCTTAGGTGACTTAGAATGCTTATGCTATAATCTAAGATCTTGTACTTATGAATATGACTTTGCAGTTGCTAAGCCGGAATCACCAGTTTGAACTAACCCTTACGAGACCAGAAAGGATCCATTGGAGGTTTCCTCCATCTTTTCCTGCATCGCTAGCTTCTGGTCTCTTCTGCCCCTAGAGGGGAGAGTAAGGCTGCTCCTATGGTCTTGGTTAGTGATCACATACTTGTGCATGTTAAGTTCATCTGTTTCTCTTCTGCTCTTCAGGGAGAATTAGCTAAATATTCTTCAAAAATATCTCTAGGATTCTCTGCTACTAGCTTATTGTATGAGTTGAGTAAGTCACTTAACCTCTCCAAGTCTCAATTTTCAGCTCTGTAAAATCAGAGGATTGGACTACCTAATCTCTGAGATGCATTTTAGCTCTAATAATCTAATGGTCATCTTTCTACTCCATTCTTACTGGTGTCATATTTCCCTGGACCCTTATATATTCTGGCATTTTCACAATAGCCTCTTGAGACCCTGTAAACCCAGCACAGAATAGCCAGGTTAATTTTTCTGAAGTGCTGATTTCCTCATGAGATCCTAGATTCATAGTCTTTGAGCTGGAATGAACCTCAGAGGTCATCTATTTTAGTCTTTCATTTTGCAGGTGTGGAAACTGAGGCCTAGGAAGGTTTAGTGATTTTTCCAGGGTCACACAGATAGTAAGTAGTTGGAGCCACAATTCAAAATCAAGTTCTCAGGTTCCAAATTTATTCCCTACTTTAAAATCTTCAGTATTTTTTATCCATCAATTTTTTTTGTTCCTACCATTCCATGTGTGGAAACTCCCTTTCCCAACATAGATTGGCAATTCATCCCTAACATATTTTTGAAAGTTGTCAGGAACTCAAAGGATTATGACACAAAGCTTGTATGTGTCAAAAGCAGAAGTTGAGCCCCAGTGTTCTTGATTCAGAAGCTGGGCCTCTAGGCCCAATGCAATGATGTCTCTCACAGTAGCTCCTTGTTGGCTATTAAATCAAGATGAAACTCTTCAGCTTGCCATTCGAAGCCTTTGGGACTATGTCTCTATCACTTCTATGTAGTCATGTTTTTCAGCATCACTAACACGAATTCTCTTTGCCATTTAGGTAAAGAAGTAGAAATAAATCTTCCAGGTAAACCCTGGCTTAGGGAAATTGGGTCTGCCATCATCTTTGGAGCAGGATCTGGTCCCTGAGGAGATACTTTATTTTCATCATCTGAGTCATCTTCCTTTGTGATCCATTCCCTTCCTAGAGCTGAGGAAGGGATCTGGACAGCAGGGACCTTGACCCTCCTACCAAACATGCCATGTTGATTCTCACCTTACACGTGCTGTTGTTCTCTTTGACTAGAATACCCAGCATCCTGATTCCTCCTGATATAAATGCCATTCATTCTTCAGAGTTCATATCAAATCCTGTCTACTCCAGAAGTCTTGTCCAATAACTCTAGCCTTCATTAGTATCTCCTTTTTCTGCTTTAGAGCTCATCTGTGACACACATCTTTGTTTGTTTTTTTGTTTTGTTTTGTTTTGGCTAGGCAATGGGGTTAAGTGACTTGCCCAGGGTCACATGGCTAGTAAGTGTCATGTGTCTGAGGTTGGATTTGAACTCAGGTCCTCCTGACTCCAGGGTTGGTGCTCTGTCCATGGTACCACCTAGCTGCCCCTCTAACACACATCTTGCAAGTAATCATAAAACTCTGATTTCTAATTGTGGGGATACGTGCCTTTTCTTTCCATTGAAATTGTGAACTCAAGGGCAGGGAATGTGTCTTATTTTATCTCCACATTTTCTTAGCCCCCGCCCCTAACCTTGGGACTGCTGAGGATATTGCAGATGCTCAATAAATATAGAACTTCTTCTGTATCTAAGAGGACCAGGTTCTAAAGATCCATTAAATAGAGCTACACTCCAGGATTTGTCCCTGGAATGGAAATGCATTGATTCTTCCCACTTTCCTCTCCAAAGATTTCCTTTTGCCATTATTCTTTCAGTTTTTCAGATTACATCTGGGAGAAAGTCTCAATTAAATGGTAAAAACGTCTTTAACACAATGTCATTTCCGATGGTCTCCAATAAGAGTTTTGCGCCTTATTTCCTGATGTAACCAAACTATGTGCTCCAGGCCTTGCCCAGTTATTTGGAGGCAGTAGCAGTAGCTGTTACGAAATGTGGGGCTAGGAATAAAGGGCATCAGGAATCAATAGGTATTTGGGTTCCCTGTTGGGTCACGAGAGATCACAGTAAATATTCCAAAACACAGATCCCGAGTCTTGGATTTCCCCTTTTCTTAAATTGAATGGAATAATAGATGATTAATAAATGCTTATTGACTTGACAACTTGGCAATTCTGTTTTCCTAAATTATTTATGTTTTTAGAATTAGCTCTAAGTATTATCCTTGAGAAATAAAACAATGAAAAAATATTACTATGGGCTCATAATTTTTTTTAATTCCTAGGCTGGTCATATCTGTGGGGATGACATAGATCTCATTGATGGTCACCCTACAGGCTCAGTGAGAATATCATTTGGCTACATGTCCACTTTTGAAGATGCACAGACCTTTCTGAAGTTCATCATAGCAACCAGGTTAGGTAAGGCAGACAGAAAACTTCCCTTTCAGATAACTCCTGGGGAAACTGCTGCCATTTCGGTAGAACCTGTGGGACAAGATGAAAGGGTCAACGAGCATGAAACTGGGAAATTGCCTCAGGAAGATGTCCTCCTACAGGCTGAGCTGAACAATTCCTCTGTGACTGTAAATGCCATGGATGTGTGTCCCCCTGAAACTGAGCTAGGCGGTGGCTTAACCTGTACAGGAGCAGTAGATGGAGGATTCCCACCACTTATAATCATCAATGTCTATATTTACCCTATCAAATCCTGTGCCGCCTTGGAGGTATGCATTTTATTTTAATTAATTAATTCATTCATTCATTCATAATTCATCCGTTCATTAATTCATTTATTTATTCATCCATCCATCCATCCATCCATTCATTCATTTATTTATTTGTTTGTCTGTTTATTTATTTATTTATTTTTAGGCAATTAAGGTTAAGTGACTTGCCCAGGGTCACACAGCTAGTAAGTGTCTAGTGTTTGGTCTGAGGCCAGATTTGAATTCAGGTCCTCCTGACTTCAGGGCCAGTGCTCTATGCACTGTGCCACCTAGCTGCCCTGAGGTATGCATTTTAAACATGGCCTTGGGAATGCTTCTCTTTTAGCATAGTTTTTATCTCCATGCAGCAACTTCACCATAAAGCAAAGAAAAAAATTGCAAGCAAGGCCTATTAAGGTAGGCCTGGTGCGCTAATGAGATAATGCATGTGAGGTGTTTTGAAAGCTTTATATCCACTGCACAAATGTCAGTAGTTGTTATTATTATTATTGTTATTGCTGTAGTATGATTCTGTCCCTTATGATCAAAGATTACCTTACTTCCAGTGCTTACCATGTACAGATGTTACTGAAAAGACCTTTGGATGACACAGAGTCTCCTGAATATTCCTGAAGTTCTTCTGAACTCAATTTTCATGATATGTTGTGTCCAGTTCTCTAACCTGGAGAGATTCTTGCTGTAATTAGAATTTATTTTATTGGTTGTTTTATGTCCATTTCTCCTGGTTCATTTTTCTATCCCCAAGGCCTAGCACAAGGCCTGGTGATTAACAAATGCTTATTGACTGGTTGATTGATAGACAAATATTCTTTCAGGGCAATCCAATCCAACAACATTTACTAGGTGCCCATGATGTGCATGACATTGTGTTAAGCTCTAGGGGTACATTGGCACAACAAAAACCAGTCCTTGACCTCAAAGGGCTTATATTTTACTGGGTTCAAATCTTACTGAAGGCATTTACTACCAATGTGACCATGGGCAAGTCATCTAACTTTTCTTTACCTTGGTTTCCTCATCTGTAAAATGAGGGAGTTGGACTCTAACTTCTCTTACAACTCTAAATTTTATGACACTATGATCCTACTGCAAATAATTCATCCTATGCTTAAGATCATAGAATCATAGCTCTAGAGCTGCAAGAGACTTCAGAGGTCATCTGGTCCAACCCCCTCATCTTACAGATGGGAAAACTGAGGCCGTGGAGGTTAAGTGCTTTGCTGGAGGTCACATAATTGGTAAGCACCAGAGGCAGGTTTTGAACACAGGTCCTCTGACTCCAGACCCAGTGGTCTTTTCATGAACCACACTACCTCCTTCTTGTTAAATTTTGATTGAATGGGTTGGAGCCTGAATGAAGGCTACCTTGAAGTGCCATTGAGAGTTGGAATAATCATTTGGGCTAAAGCTGTGACTGACTTGGGAAACAGGTATCCTCCATCTTGAAAAGGGCTGTGTGGAGATGGAATGGAATAATGGAAAAAGTGGGAAAGTTGGAGATTGGAGAGCTGAGTTTGAATACTGATTGTTATTCTTACTAGCTCCATAATCATGTATTTGTCCCCGCTCTCTCTTTCTAAACACTTTCTAAACCTTTAAAGGCTATGTAAATGCCATCCATTATAATTTCCCCCCATCTTCTCTCCTCTTCTTCCTTTAAATGTTATGAATTCATTAAATTCAATGTTTATTAAATTAAAATTTGTGGTTATTCAGTCATTTCCAGTTGTGTCCAACTCGTTGTGACCCCATTTGGGGATTTCTTGGCAAAAATGCTGGAGTGGTTTGCCGGTTCCTTTTCCAGCTCATTTTGCAGATGAGGAAACTGAGGCAAACAGGGTTAAGTGACTTGTTCAGGGTCATACAGCTAGGAAGTGTCTGAGGCCAGATTTGAACTCAGGAAGATGAGAGGTCCTGACTCCAGGCCTGGAATTCTATCCATTGAGCCACCTAGCTGCTCTTAGATTATAATTAAATAATTGCAATTATATAATGTTGTATGATTAAGTTATAATCCTCTTACTTTTGAGAAGTCAGTGTGCAAACTATACTAAAAATATTTATTTATGCAATAATTTATATAAAAGGTTCTTGCCTAAAGCAAGCTTACATTTTTAATTTTAACTTTTATTTTGATTCTTTCTCAGGTTACCAAATGGCCGGTTGGAAACCAAGGATTGTTATATGACCGAAACTGGATGGTTGTGAATCACAATGGAATTTGCCTCAGTCAGAAGCAGGAGCCTCGTCTCTGCTTAATTAAACCCTTAATTGACCTGCAGCAAAAGACTATGGTCATCACAGCTGAAGGTAAGAAGCAATCACCAGCTCTCATGCACATTCCCTGCTTTGTCCGAAGCAGTGTGGTACAATGGAGAGAGCCTGCTGCAAGACAAAAAGTCCTCAGCTGTTCTCAGTTGTGCCACTTTCCAGCCAAGCCCATTGTGTTGAGTTTATTAGGTCTTGTGGGCCAAAATGAAAGATCTAGAAACAGCATGAATAGAATAAAAAGGCAAAATAGTTCATTTATTTGATCCTCGGTTTCCTCTTCTGTAAAATGGGGATAATGGCACATAGCAAGCCTCCTTGACAGGGTTGTTGTGAAGACAACAATGAGATGATGGAGGAGGAAAGCACAGTTCTGACTATATCACTCTCCCACTAGATACAATCCAGTGCCTTCCTATTACTTCTAGGGTCAAATACAAATGCCTCTGTTTGGTATTTAAGGCCTTTCATAACCTGGCTCAAAATTACTCTTCCAGCCTTATTGCAAATGTAACCCAGGGCCCAAAGCCCATTTGCATAAGGCTCCTCATTAGTGGAGACTAATTATTTAATGATCCCCTTCCTGTGTAAAGGCAGGGTTGGTGAGAGCTTGACAGAAGAAAAATCAGTCTTTCTGGCTTCTAAGTTCTATAGAGAAGAGAATCTGGAACCCCATTCCTTCTGGTCCCAGAAGGGAGAGAGCAACTCTGGTAAGAAGTTCACATATTGGCTGTGGGTCATGTATGTTACTCTCCATACACTTTCCAGTTCAGTTCATTCTTCACACATATTCCTCCCATCTCTGGTCACTGTGCCTTTGTATATGCTGTCACTCAAGCTTGGTATGTATTTTCTCCTCATGTCTCACCATTTCATAGAACCCTTGGTTCCTTTTAGAGCTGATTCCTTTAGCTTCTGGTGTCATCCCCCAATTCCAATTACCTTGTATTTAATCTATATATATTTTGCATCTTATTATTCATGTACATGTTTTTTTCCCCATTAGATTGTAAGCTTCTTGAGGGTGGGGACTATTTCATTTTTGTCTTTGCATTACCAGTGCCTAGCTCAGTGCCCAGCACAGAATATGTACTTAAGAACTTCTTGACTGACTTCCTAAAGTATAAAACACAATGTATATATCACATTATTTTTTTTTAGTAGAGCAGGCGTCAGGGATTGCTTATGTTTTAATGAATAGATAACTGAGCATTTTTCCTAGCAGCCATTAAGGTATTTTTATAACCCTATCAGCAAACTGATAGCTTTAACTCCTGCTGATTATGGAAATAATCTGAAATAAGCAAAAGAGGAAAAGAGACAGGGTAAGGTTCATTTTCACTGCAGGTTTGGTGAGCTGAGTATCTCTGTTCAGAGACTGGTGAGAATCTGGGGCTTCTGGGAGAAAATAGAAGGAATTTGATATTGGAATTTTACAATGTTACCTTCCCCTGTGGATCTAGTGAATTCCTTTGATTTGCCAAAACTTTCTGCCGTAATCCTGTGACATGAACAGTCAGCTTTGACTTTTCTGAGATAATTTTTAATGGAAATCCTATCCCATATTTGACATTGTTACCTCTCATTCCTCCTCTGGTCATCCCAGAGAAGTACAGTAACTTGGACCAAAAAAAAAAAAGAAAAAGAGAAAAAAGGCGTTCTGTCATTCTATTCAGTGTGGCAGGCCTAAGGGAAACTGTTTTTAGCAAAACTAAGGGTGTGCTGAGATGTTCTTCGTGTGGCCAGTGGGTGTTGCTGTTACATAACATAATGTAACCTTAACCCCAAACCCACAGATTTCTGAATATTTTCTTTTCTGGCATCTGGCAAGCCTTTGTTTTCATCTTTTTTTTTTTAAACTGTGAACAGTTTAGCCCTAGGGGGAACAAAGTAGACTCATGATATTAATGCTGCATCTTCAAATGTAGCCTCTTCTACAGAGTCCTTTGGTTTTTCCATGTTTCTTGAATGAAAGAAAGCAAAAGGGAAGGAAGGAAGGCTTGCTTCCCTCCTTATTGGGACTAGGACATGGTTTACTGCCTTCCTGCACTCAAATGAGGCTATTCATTATGTTCTGTATTTACATGAGTATCATTTGCTCTAAAAGGGTAGTCTAAGAATTTTCCAAATGCCAAATTTCATAGGACTTTGGTGAGATAATAATATGTTTGTCATCTTTGGGTTCCCACTACCTTTGCCACTCCCAATATAGTGCATGCAGTATAAGTATTAATTGGATGAACATATTCTAAGTGTCATGCAAAAAAAATTACATGACTCTTGACCTTAAGAAATTTATAAACCAGTTGGAGACATAAAACATGCATAGAACAGTTACATAATATAAGACAGCATATAACACCAAAAGATTGGATTAGTGCTGACAAAAATGTTAGAGGACTTCTGTGGAGGAATGATCACTGTGCACTGTCATGATGGAGGAATATTTCCAGGTAGGATTTGAACTGGGTCTTCAAAGCTAAGTAGAATTTGGATAGGTGGGCAGAAACATTTGCCTATGTTGCAGAGAAAAAGAGAAGATAGCAGTATAAGGGTCTGGGGGAAGGCATAGAGGTAGGTAGGAGAAAAGGATAAGGATAGTAAGGGTGTCTGAGAATAAGGAGTGGGGCTGGTACATCTTTCTACTAGGGGTTAGTAGCAGATAGTTGGAAAAGTAGATTTGAGTCAGATTATGAAGGTCTTTGAATATCAAGCATCAGTCTGGACTTTATCTTACAGGCATGTGGAGCCCTCTAATGGTTTTTGAGGAGAGAAACACAATGAAAGCAGGGTTTGAAGAAAATTGACCACAATGTCATTGGTTCTGGTGTTGCGTGGATTTATATTTGCATGTTGTAAGGGTAGATCTGAATAAATAACTGAATAAGTGATTGATTGAATGATAGAAAATTGTATAAGGTAGTCAGGCAAAGGAAAGACTAGGGATAGGGCAGCCAGCTAGGAAGGCTCAAGTAGTGTGGTTGTGGTAGGAGTGGAAGTAATCATGACAACTCAGATTTATAATAATTGAAAATTATATATTGGTTTAAGGTTTGCTAAGTTTTATACATCTATATATATATGTATATATATATATATATATATATATGTATATATACACACATACACACACACATATATATTAACGCATTTGGTCCTTATAACAACCCTGTGAGGTAGGTGCTATGTTATCATCCCCATTCAAATGCAAAAACAATTATGAAGGGATTTGGAGATTGGATATGGAAAGTGTGGAAGAGGGGGAAGTCAAAGGTGACATTGAGATTTCAAGTCTGAGTGCTTGGGTGAATGGTGATGCTGTTGTCAGAAATAAGGAAAAATGTTTAGAGTAGAAGATAATAATATGCTGGGTTTTAGACATATTGTATTTGAAGTGACAGTAATTGGAGATGGGGAACTAGACCTTGGAAAAGAAATAAATGGCTGAGGCTTGAGAACTGGGAGTCATACTCAGGTATATTCATTTTCTGTGGAAGGGTAGTAGAGAAAGATAAGAGGATAGGGCTGATATCACTTGTCCTTGGTGAACATGTAGGGTCAGAATCCAACAAAGGGAACTGAGAAGAGAGGTAGAAAAAAATCAGGTGACTGTGTTGTTGTGAAAGTCAAGAGAGGGGAACATTTCAAGTGCTACAGGGAATTTAAAGGGGTGTGTGTGTGTGTGTATGTATATGTAGAGAGACAGAGAGCACCCAAGAAAAGGTCTTTGGATTTGGCTATTAGAAGTCACTAGCAACTTTTGAGAAAACAGTTTCAGTAGAGTAGTAAGGATAGAAGGCAGATTTCAGGGGGTTAAGCAGTTGACAGATGATAATAAGATCACATGATAGTACACATTGTTGATGAAGTTGGGAAATGGTCCAGCAATTTTGGATTTCAATTTAGAGTTATGCAAGAAAAGCGACCGAACTGTGCATACCTTTTGACCCAGCAATCCTATTATAGGCTATATACCGCAAAGAAGTAAAGGCAGAAACAAATATCCAATGTATGCCAAAATTGTCACAGTAGCACTTTTAATGATAGCAGAGGACTAGAGACAAAATGGGAGGAGGGGACTATTGGAAAATAAATGAAAAAATTATGGCATGTGAATGTAATAGACTATATAGTAAGAAAAGATGAATATGAGATATTTGGAGAAATTTGAGATGATTTGTACAAAATGATATAGTGAAATAAGCAAAATAAAGAAAACAATATATACAATGACAACAAATATGTAAATAAAAAACACTAAAAGGAAGCTGAATTCTGAGAAATAGAGAAGACAGTGAAAGTTTTGGAGAAGGGATAACAATACATATCTTCTCCCTTATAGTAGAGAAGACAAGGACTATTAGAATAAAATATATATGCTATAATACAAAGTTTCTGTATCAGATGCACTTTTCTGATTGATTTTCCTTTATCAAAAGTGAGAGTTCAATCCTGGGGGTGGGTTGGGAAATTACTGTACTAGAGAGACAAAAGATATAAATACAGCAAATTGTTTAAAATATTGTAACAGTTATCCATAAATATGTCCTCCTAAATTCGTACCAATTTTAGAGTAAATCCCCAGCTGAGAAATAGGCTGCCTTCCAAAATGTCTTAGGGCATTTGGAACTCGCAACACATTTTACCATAGAAAACAAATGTTTTAAGTGGCTACATTTCAATTTCTATGGAAAAACAATAGCAAACAACACTGCTGCAACACTAGCAGAGGGTTGGATTGGAGCATTCATAGGGATTGGTCTGGGGAGAGGAAGGGGCATAGTTTCAAAAAAATGAGGAAAACAATATAAGAAATACACCAATAGTTTCCTCTATTCAAGCTGGCATGAGCATGACCGAGTAGCCCAGTAAGGGCCACTTAGACAGCTAGAATCTGAACAAAGCATGGCACTTAAAGGGAGTGAAGCTCAGAAATCTTGTTTCTTTGATCGTGTTCCATTATCTTTTTGTGAATGGTTTATGACTTTGTACTTGGACTCAGACGCAATTTAAGCCTTGGACAGTCCTGGTGCTGCTTCATG